ACAGTAAACTGAGGTGCTTTTAGGCGGGACTCACAGAGCCTAGAGGAGGACTTAAAGCGACCCTAAATAACTCCTGAACAGATATCCCCAGGAAAAATTCTTCGGAAAGACTAAGTAATTCAAATCACAGTCATCTGAAGATTGACAAATGAATCCTTTCCTTCATCTATCGTAGCCAGCCACGGTGATGATTGGTCCTTGAAAGGAAGAAACAGACGTGAGCAAAAGCCGAACTCTAGTCGCTAAAAACAACAAAACAACAATTTTTCCAGTAAGCTGAGAAACTGAAAGCAATAAAATGAAATCAGATTGTGGGTTGTTAGGAGTTCACAGACCCGGAAGACGAATACGAATGAACAAGACGCTTATATAACTGTATGCAAAATACTTAACACCAAAAATACCGAAACACAAAAAGGCAAGGTAACACACGTAATTAACCATATAAGAACGTGCAGAAAACAAATATCTGCTAAACTGCGTACCACAGATATTTTTGCATTTCCTTTTTTTACGCTAAGTTTTTCATTAACATACAAAATATTTAAAAAAGCAAAAGCAAAGATCATTTAAACTAGGTAGAAAATTAACTATGTTCATAGAAAACGTAAAAATGTGGCTCATGATAAAAAGATCAAACCACTTCTATAGAAGAAAAACATATTTAAATCTATAGAGTGAAATAACTTGGTATTGCCTTAAATGATAGTTTTTTTACCTGATTAAGGAGGCATAGACATAGCACATCAAAATATGCATAAAAAGAATTCACCGGGCACCTATTACAAAGCCTTTTAATTGTAAATTACAAAGGAAGCACTGGACAGAGGAAAATTTGTTATCAAACCACCAATCGATCTGTATCATTGCATGTAATTGGCAAGCAGAAAGAACAACTCTGACTTGCAAGGAAAATTGACATTATTGAAAAGCCAATGCTTTTTATGGTTACAACAACAAGCAGTGGATAAATAGACACCATAAATTTTAATGTGAACGTAAGAGCATTAAAAATATTATTTGCAGATCTATAGATGCTATCTTATCTTATCTTATCTTTGAAAATACAAAGTAATAATTAAACTTAAGTTATAGTATGTAATAAAGAGGATGAGAACGAGGCGAACTTCCTTAGGAATTATAATGTCACTCTATTACAATGAATACGACGAAAATATACTTTTCAGGTCGATACACAAAAGATGGGTAGAAAGCTCCACATCGCAATCGTACTCAAATTGTCGAGTAGACAAAAAATAATACAAGCTTTTGATGAAAATCTGTATTGCTTTCTTAGGTCAAGGAGAATTTGTTTGCTTTATGCATGTGCTGAAGCACTTTAGCTTAACATTTAGCATACATGCTTCTTGTTAAGGGCCAAGTCCAAGTCCATCGCCACTAGCAAATAACAACCACAAACTTTAATATTACAAAAAGTTAGAGCCTACCGGCGTTTCTTGACACTTCCGTACCATCGGGGAGCGGCTTTTGCAGAACAGAGGCGTTGAAACTTGTTAAATGTGACCAGGGTTTTTCTCCGCGCTAAAATCAGGAGTATTTTGGCAATCTCTCACCCGCTCTTTCCCAAACTTCGCGCGGACAACAGGGCAAGAGAGAACGCCTTAGGAAATAGGCTGGTGGTTAAGATAATCGTCTGCAGTCGCTACCCCCCGGGGTCGAATCTCGGTCACGTTATACTGAATTTTAAAAATTGAAGAGACGTACACTGTCATGAACATTTGTTGAGCAGAACTTTCAAAAAGAAACTTAATGCCATATGAATAGCAAATACAAGTCGGTGTACTGGTCCCATACATGATAGCCTCTGGCTTTTCTTTAACACAAATGAGCAACGCACTGAAGCGTAGCAAAGCTGTTGTGGATTTCTCTTCAAAGAAAATCAACTGCCACCTTTATAGATGTATGCATTAAAAATACGGATGATATAGTTGATAGATATGATAGATATTTATAACACAAATGAGAAGTGAAGCACTTGGAAATTTTGGATAGCACTAAAGTAAAGTTGCAAGGAGCTCGCCCATCTCCTGAAACTCCACGCGGGAGCCAGTCAAATTTGCGGGCCTCCGCGCGAGTTAATGACGTTTGTTGAGAGTGGCGCAATTTGTTCTAAAACAGCACATTTGACTATTTCCATGGAACCACGTGGACCTTATGCTTGCGGTCTCCTACCCCTTATCTCAGGGTCTGGATGACCGCCCACCCCTTATCTCCAGGTCTGGATTTGCCACTGAATACCATCCAAAAATAATTGTCACGCACACAGATTCCGTTGACGATATCCGCGGAGCTCACCGAGAATTCTGGTATAGATACGTGAATACTGAGGGATTTGCAACTCTTCGTGAAAATCCGATATTTGAGCAGAAACCCGATGGATATACTACGATGCAAAGTTTGTCTGCCATATTTGAGGTCAGCGAAAACTATGGGGAAAGATTGTCTTCCTATCTGCAGGTAATTTTCCCGCCCGTCTCATTAAATTGCTCTTTCATATGCAGGCTTTTTAGGTGACAATTAATATAAGCGTGGTAAGGAAAGGGAAATAATGAATTTAAAGTATGACAAAAATAAATGAAGAAATAAAAGCTAATAAACACACACAAATAGAAGAAGGACAGCAGGGCTCCTTATGATGGTTGCAACAAATGAAGAACAATTGCCTTGTTTCGTGATCATTTGTTTCCACAAGGAGCCACGTTGGTGAGTTTTAAAACGACTCTAAGAGCAAGAACCTTGTGAACTAATTTCACTAGATATAATCAATAAAATAATTAAGAATGTGTACAATTGTTTTAGCAGAAAAAGTCTGCCAAGGACGCATTTTGCAACTATTTTAGGCGACGTTAATGATACATTTTCAAGGACATCCACTAGTGTGCTAAGGCTTTCGCCTTCTTTTTAACTAAAACAGGCTACATCAGTGAAACTTATACTTTACGACCAAATTGCCATGCCATCTGTTCGAATCAGACAACCTCAGTAACTCACAAGAAGGCAAATGCGCGCCGGCGAGGAGGGGATTAATATACTAGGTGGGAGAACTGGGAGGTTTGGGTGAGTTGGGAAATACTGTGTGTCCGCCCCTGCGAGTAACCGAAGGGTTCCAAGTTTTCTAAGATGTTGTTCAAACAGCGAGCTACAAAAATAGTCGAACCGAGCTATAACTTCTCTTACTAAGTTTCTTATGTGAAAGACGAGCTGCATACTTTTAGGATCAGCGATGGATAGAAAGAATCCTGTGTTGTGATAACCTATCTTTCAAAATGTCAAACTCGAGAAAGATGGCTCGTTCATTTTGAAAAGAGTGCGGGACAAGCCTTATGTTACAGGACGAGTGCCACACACTACAAATCCTATACTCAGTAGCTTGAAGCTCAGCATCACAAGTCTCTCTCTTACGGTCTCCGCTCTCTGTTTTTCATCTTCTCCGGATGTTTCATAACGTGCTTAGTAACGTTTAATGCCATATGATAGCCTAGTGGAAAGTATTTCGTTCTCCCTTGATTTTGGTGAAATTTATTTGTTCATTAGGTACCTGAGAGTGCTAACTATACATTCACCCTATCGTGTGGAGATGAATGTGAGCTTTGGTTTAAACAGCTCAGAGAAACGAACATGACTTTTGAAGACACCACTGCCTCTCAATCAGAGCAAGAAGAGGTTCTGCTAGTTCAGCTACAGCGATGGGCCAGCTACAACGAGTCTGACATGTAAGAAGATACTTGACTAAACCATGTGTCAATTTCTAGCGCAATACGCCTTTGGTCGATACTTACAGAGAAATAGATGTTACATTGCTATTACTGAAAGTGTACAATCAGGTACCAAAAATGAGCGCACATGACATTTTTCTGTACCTCCATCTCGTCAATAATATTTCCATGCAATCTAAATGTATTAGATGATGCCACACCCTTTATTGAGCTCTTACAGTTGTGTAGTCATGGAATTAACTTTCGCAAAATCGAAGCTTATCTTAAAATATAGTACACAGTGGTAAACCCACAACCGTGTAGGCTTTGCGATACCGTCTTTTTCTTAATGTTGGGGTGGCACAGCTGGTTCGACGCGCCTTAATATCAGCTTTGAACAATTTATATCACTTTCGTAGTAAACAGGCTGGGTGGCGAGACGAGGCGAGCCATTGTGCAGCAAAGTAAAACGAAATCTGCCACCAAGCGTTTCCACTACACGTAAAGGGCGCCATCTACTATTTTTAAGCGCAACAAAATGCCACGTGAAAATTGGCGGGAAAACGAGAAAAAAGACTGAAATGACAAAATGAAATCCTGAGATGTGTTTTAAGAAAACAACGTTCGTTCCCAAACATTCCGCTCCCCTTGGCACGCTTAGGGTTGGAGGTCCAATAATATGCAGCACTCACAGGTCCTCATAATCATTCTCCAGAAGACGCAACTTTTGACCAACACGACCAAGGTTCCAGTGACTTCGTGATGCATTTTCGTCAACCAGAAGTACCAGAGCATTCGGTTTTAAAGGAAACGTGCTCTTTATGGTGTTAAGGTTAAATGGCGTGATTATTTTTAGCACTCTTAGAGCAAAAGAATAGCTGTTCTGGTCTGAAAAAATATATCATATCGTCGTCAAAAGATCAGCTCCAGCATTAAAGTGGTCATTGTGCAACAGCTCACAAAGCAACGTCTAGTTTTCTAAACAAAGTGGTTTTCAGACAATGGAGTTCAAACGTGCTGGGACCTTTTCAGTGATATTACTAAACCTGCCGACCCCTCCCCTCAAACAAAGTTGAATTTGGAGCAAAATGGGTGAAAATGAGTGCTTTTTTGGGCCACAACATTGCTGGGAGAAGTGTTTGGACGACGGAAGGAACCCAAAGCCGAACAAAACATTGTCGTTAGGAGCAGGGTCCTACGTAACAATTGCTTGGAAGGGCTTTTTCACACAGTCCCAAGTTCTTTTGTCCTCCGTTGTCTGTCTATTGAGTGGACCAACTCGAGATGAATCGCATGTGTGCTCGGGAACGTGAACAGGAAGCACCAACGTTTCACTGCACTCCCTCCAAGCTTGACGTACAAGGATACAAAAAGGTCCATTCCGAAGAAGGAGGTGCTATTTGTTGAGTCATTGGCTTGGCATGAAAATTCTTGCAGACAATACATTGGCTGAGAAAAGAGCAAACCACTTTCCTGATCTGTGGAATCCAAAGCTTCTCACGCACTTTCGCAATGATATGTTCACACCCAAGGCGACCGATCAACTCATGAGGGTGGTGAATCATCGTTCTCGTAGCAAGGCTGGTGATCCTTTGGAGGATGATCTGATTTGTAGAGTTGACGGTGGCTGGCGGGGATAGCACACGCCCTTTGACTCTCAAATTCGATTATACTGGATGGCTTGACACTATTCTTGGTTTTTGAGATCATCGATTTCTTGCGAATACCGTATTTATTCGACTAAACGCCGTCCTTAAATTAACGCCGCAGCTAATCAGGAGAATGCGGCGTTTACCCGAGGATAATAAGAAAAATCTCGGTACAACTAGGTAATTTACACCATCAAGACATTTACGATTCTATCTCAGCAAAATAAGAGAGACATTGGAACCTTTATATTACATAATATTTACATACGATTTACAATTTCTGTTGGCAGTGATTTTTAAAAAAGTTGTTTCGAAATAAACGCCGCATTGGAAACGCTAAAAATTTAATAAACGCCGCGGCGTTCAATCAAATAAATACGACAGGCCGAATACTGAACCATCCTTAAAATACCTGTAGTAGCAGCATTTTTTGTAGTAACAGGAGTTAGGGGACCCTTTCGGACGGTCTTCAGACTACGAAATAAGTAGACAAAACGGACAAGCGAAGCTATAGGAACTATAAGCGGATTCCAACAGATAAACTAGTGAGCAGTTTGTGAAAATACAGGTGCTGATGTCAGACGCAGGGATCAAAAGTTGAACTTTTGCGTACCAGACTCAACATGGGACTCGTGCTTTAACTCTAATTTTTTAACAGGAATATTTCTGAGGGCTGCATCACGCCAGTGGAATTCTGGTCGCCATAGAAACCCATGCCCTTATAGCCATCGGTGATTTAAGTTTAACACTTAGGGAGTTAAGCCATGCAAAACGTTGTCTGCTGGATTAAGGAATCCTGCCTCGTGATTCCACCGTTCTGGCTGAGAGTTGTCTCTTATCTCTTCTACACGATTGGCAACGTAAGTCTTGAAGGGACGTTTTGCATTCTTTAAGTAGTGGAGAACTATCTCGTTATCTGTTCAGTACTTCGTGCATTTGATAGACAGATCCATTTTCTCCATTAGCATCTTAAACGTGTCGACGGCTCAGCTGCTTGTAGTTCAAGCCTTGGAATGCTTACAAAGTTAACTGGCGTATTCCTTACCTTTCCCATAACGAACGAACAATGGATAAGACCAGCCAAATCCTCAACTCTTAGATATGCTGATGCGCCGTAGCCAACTTCTGATGCATCAGAAGAAATATGCAGTTTACACTTGAGGCCACCCATTTGGCGTGTGAAGTAGCAACGTGGTATGCGAAGCTGAGCCAGGAATGGCAGCTGATTGACCCAAGACCTCCAACTGACGTGGAAGCTGTCTTCCACCAAAGGCTGATCCAATCCAACTTTGCCTTCCAGATGTCTTGTTTTAAAACACTAACAGTAATGGTTTCGGGTGCTGCGAAGCCAAGAGGATCGTAAACGGGACACATGGAAGACAGGATGCTTCGCTTTGTCTCAGGACAGTTTAATTCCCTTATTTTCAACCCTAGTTCATCTGTTCCTACAAGCCACCGCACCACAAAGGCTCTCTCCGAGGTAACTCAGTCGAGTCAAGGTTCAGTCATGAGTGGATCCTCTTTCAGAGGGTGCCGTTGATGTGAACTTAGCGAGGCAGAAACCACCACGGCTTAGCATTTTAATCAGATTGAATGCTGCATTGCTGGCCGATCTCTTATCACTGAAGGACGGCAGGGCATCGTCGACGTAAAAGCTTCTGGCAACAATCGCTGAAATCGCCGGGTTGAAACCTTGAAACCATTCTTATTGGCTGTTCTCCTTAAAACAGAATTGACGCTCAATAAATGTGTCTGGTGAATGTTTTTTTTTTAATTTCGTGAAAATTAATTCCATGACTGCACAACTGATTCCATACTAAAAATGCTCCTTTTCTGACCTATTTATATAATCGATTCCATAGCTGTTTAACTGGAAGTACTTGAAAAAGGGGGCGTGGCATCCTATCTAGAATTATTTATAACATTAACACTTATCCACATACAAGAGTTAAAGTATGTAGAAGCTTAAACAGTGCACCAATTGCCTATTTTTATTATAATGTATTCCTCATCTATCACTCTGCAAGTATCCCTCAGAGGGCGTGGTTCTATAAGTAGTACTGTGCACTATACTGTACTTTATCGCTCTTATTAATTTCGGACCCGTGCTTTAACTTTAAGACTGTGTTTTTGCTGTTTAAAGATAATTAATTCCACGGCTTTAAAGTGGAAGTATTCAGGTTGGGGCGCGACGTTCTATCCAGAATTGCTCAGGGTATTAACCTCCATACCTCGGCCAAATTTCGTGCTTTTATTACTAATTTGAACAATGATGCACCATTTTTCTTTACTACGTTTCAGATTGGTTCCAATCCCCCGGCTAATTCTTCATAGGGTAAATTAGTGAACAATTCTTGCAAGGACCACTTGGAGAAACAGCGGCGATATATGTCAATAGATTAAATTTCATCTCGTCTGTTCATCCCATGGAGCTCAGGTGTTTTGCCTTTAGATGTTAAAAATCCTTCACGGACCTTACGGAGCGTCGGTGCTATCCAAATATGTCACTGAGCCAGAGTTAGTTTCGCCGATAGAAAAAGCCAGAAATCCACATCACTTTTATCATCCTACCGCCGTTTCAGACCACTTCTCCCTTCCAGATCGATCATTCCATCAAGGACATAGAACTCATTCCATTAGAACTAATTAATTCAGACAGGGACAGTATCCGTAAGGTCCGTGAAGGATTTTTAAGATCTAAAGGCAAAACACCTGAACCCTTTGGGATGAACAGACTAGATGAAATTTAATCTACTGACATATATATTTTATGTAACCTCTTTATACAAGTTTTTGTCTGTTGTATTCCTCCACTAATCATATTTTATTGTTGTATTATTTTAAATAGTGTAACCGTTTATTCTTTTCTCACTTAGCTTTTCTAGCCCCTGATGAAGACTAGTTTTGTCTAGACGAAATATTGGGCAAATAAATCTGTCAACCTTAGCTGTCCGATCAGTATTACCTTCAATTTAGATTCTTCATAACCGGCCGGCGCTTAGATGTAGGCAACAATAGGCCATCTATTCGATGGTATATTGCTAGCAGTTGTTTTCCAGGCAATGACCGCTTAGAGCTTTAGAGCGCGGCAGCCTATCGGTTTACGATTGAGTAAACTAAAACAAAAATGGCGTTCACGGCTATCTGAAGACGAAATAGCAAATTTCTGACCAAAAAGGAGCGGAAGAGTTGCAGTCATATTAGGAAACAATATTGCTCGATCTGTTTAAACCCTACCGAAACCGTTCCTAGAAACAGGCAAATGTTTGAGGAAAGTCAAAAGAATTTTAAAATTGAAGTGATATATCAAGCATGAGACGCCGTGTTTAATCACCAGAAGAAACACCGAGAAGAGAGTTGAAGAAACGACTAGCAGCGGATTATTTTTGACGATTTTTGAGGTGTTTCATCTGGTGATGAAACACTGTGTCGAATGCTTGATATTACTTCTCAGACAAAATGATTTCAGGAGGAAAAATTAAGGACGCAAAAATGAGCAGTTTTTCATTTGATTGCCAAACAGTCATTAGACATTAATTTCCTTTGTATTTTCTTCTTTATTTTCTTTATGTTTTCTTTAATGAGTTTGAGAATGAATAACAAAACAATTACTGAATTCGTGTTTGTGTGATGTGAAGAATTATGCAGATCTTGGAGGCTGTTACCCATTCTTTTCGATTCTCATAGTTCTTTACAAACGGGAGACGAATGCAATAATTGTTTGATACTTTGCTTTCTTTGCTAACTACTCAGGTGCTTGAGGACACAAGCCACATCAAGTGTGTTTTTAAGCAGGTGTCATCTGTATAAACTCAGTGTATACATGAAAGACGAATTGCAATTTAAATGTTTGTCTGTCGGCATTAGCGGACCAAAATTCAAACAAGAACCGATCCAAGGATCACATTTATTTGTAATGCCATCAGGTAAGTTCTAATTGATTTGTGAGCACTTTCCATATTGAAGTCGGCCTTCTTCAACGCCCATCTAGCTACCTTTGCTGAGCTCGTTTATCTCTTTTGTAGAAATAACAGAGATGGCCGCTTCTTTTTGTTTGCTATTCAAACTGTGTCCAAAGGCGGCACCAGAGACACTTCTCGGCAAAGAAAGTGAATGCTAAAGACAAATGAGGAAACTTCAACCATGTCCATGTAGCTGCCCATGCCCAAGAAAAATACGAAAAAAGAAAATCCAAACCGAGTATTAGATGTTACGCGCTTAAAGTTTAAATCCCGTAAAAATGAGTTATTTACAAGTAAAAATCTAGCCGTCCGTTCACTGTAGCTAACCTTGAAAAACTGCTCACAGGTCTGACGGAAGTACTTAAGATATTTATTTATTTCATCTTAGCTGACAATAATAATAATGATCGAGGGCGCTTTGAAATCTAAAAAACGCTAAAATATCGTTCCGGATTTACAAAGCGTGGAATCTGAAAAATTCAGCTATTCGTCCGGTAGAAGAGGTTAAACCGACTTTTCTCGGGTTTACACGCCAGGAGAATTTGTAGTCTTGGTTTTTATAATGCTATACTAAAAAAACAATAACGAAAAGGTTAAAACACCTTAAACAGAATCTTCATTTTAGAAAGCCTTTTTAAAGAGATTAATTTTATTCGTTTCTTGAAACCTTTCATTAGAGGGGCTAGATTTCAACTCGATTGACCGGTAACGGAAAATGCTCTAATTGTCCGTACTTATGCAAATGAATTTGAAATTAGGGTGCGAAGCATCTTGGAAGCACAACGCAAAGGAAGCTGAGGCATACATTGTTTAAGTGGTTCTTGAATCTATGTAGGCCCAATATCGATGAAAGCGTTATATGAAAACGAAAGAATCGCGAAATTGGTATTGCTTAACGGAATTGTTTCGGTGTAGGTGTGATCTGAAAAGGTATTGCTGAATAAAACTATACGGTCTCGCATAAAAACTTATTTTGTGTGCTACGAGAGGAACTGATGCAAAAAGAATATTATAGGGGTCTATTAGTTA